TTTGGCAAATCCAGAAACACTCCAGTTTAGTGGTACCATTACTTAATTCTTAATTGGAGAGAGAAATTTAGAAAGGATGCCATTACCCCATGCCAAGTTGTACCACCTTAACCCATTTATATTTTCATTCCAAATTGCAGAGATCAAAACATTTAAGAGATGCTTGACGGAATGGAAATCTAGAAAAAAAAATTAAAATAACATGAAATAAAATAGAAAACTGAACATTTATTTTTTTTCTAAATCTAACATTTTTTTTTCGAATTTGAAACCCATTCTAAATAGCAAAGTCATATATGTCATTTATGAATATTTTTTAAGGATATTAACATATATAGTATACAAGAAAAATGTTACTCTGCAAAAATAAAATATACTAAATATTAAAAAAGAAATGCATTGTATACAAATGATATTATAGTTTCATAGGAAACAATTCCACTGCGACATAATAGTTTCTTATAAATTTAAAACTACAATGGTTTTAAGTAATTTTAGTTTAGAATTCATACACTACAGTGGTAATTAGAAAAAGAAATACTAGCACTCAAAGAAACCCCAAGCAAATTATTCAAAAAACATGTTTATAATAGTGTAATCGTAAAAATTCGTAATAAAATTTCAAACACATTAAATAACATGCCCGCGCATGTGCGCGGGCTACCTTCCTAGTTCTACATAAAAGACCCTTCAAACAAGAAGATGCACATCATGAGGGATGGCAAGCGCCGAATTGTAGGAGTTGACAACGTCATCGATGAAGAAGAATACAACCAGAATCTTCATGTAAGACCTCACATTGACCTTGACGATGATCCCCAAGAGCCTGTGGCATATGCTCGTTCAGATCATACGGAAGGCATAACCTTGCGACCGATGCATTTGTACTCATCTATTATAATGAATGAAGTATTTTGTTTTATTACAGAGACTTGATATGTGTAGTCATTTATATGGCTAATTTTGTTTTATTACAGATGATGTTTATATTTGTCGTATATTCAAATTGAATTTCAAACTATTAGGAATATAGTTATACATAAAAGTGACCAAAATCAAAGTTGTAGATCTAAAGGCTCTACAACTTTTCTGTTTATGGCTTTTCCATTTGAAATCATTTAGTATTTATAAATGTTGTTTAAATTTGTCGTACATTCAAATTCAATTTTATACTATTGGGAAAAAGTTATATAGATAAATGACCAAAATAAAAGTTGTAGATCTCGAAAGGCTCTACAACTTTGTTGTTGACCATTTTTCCATTTGAAATCATTTACTATCTGAAAATGTATTATGACTAATAAAATGAATTATTATACAATAGCTATGTATTTTGCACTCACAAATATAAATACTTCATGGGAAAAATGGAAAAATAGTCATCGGTGACGGGCCTTAGTTTAAGCCCGATAGAGATTAATCTATCTCAATCGGGCATTACCGTAGGGCCCGTCACAGATGAGTCATCCGTGACGGGCTCCATACTAATGCCTGATTAAGATGACAATCAGGCCCGTCACGGATGACTCATCTTCATGCCAAATCAAGAAGATCAACGAGTGTACGAAGCTATAGTAAGTGTCTAGTCAAAATAGATGTTCGTATTGTTTCCCATCATGCTGAAGGAGTTGGTTGCCGAGCAACAAGCCTCGCAAGAGGCCTGCTCTCAAAGACGCGAGGACGACCTCCTCGCGAAAGCATTGGGCAACAAGGAACACCGTGGACGGACACGGAGCGTTGGGTCCTCCGTTCCCTAGAAGTATGGATTTCCAGACTACGTGTGGCAGTACAAGAAGCAGACTTCCAACAAGACGAAGAAAGACGCACGCCTTGAAGCCAAGATCCGGGCATCGATTAGAGCGGAGCTGACATCTGAATTCGACAAAAAGCTCGAGTCGATGAGGGCCAAGATTAGGCAAGAGATCCGAGAAGAGCAACAGAACCCCCAGGCCGCCGCTGCTGATGCGCACGAAGAGTTAGGAAGTCCCACCCAAAAATGCAGCAGTTGCGTATCAACTAAGTTGGCGGAAAATTCAACATCGGTCGACAGCGCCGTCGACCGCATAACGGTAAAAGTTTCGTCCACAATGCATGAAAGGCTTAACGAATCCACATGATATATAATATTCTAAAAAAATGATGAATCTATCACAGGAACCAACGAGCTACACCCTCACAGTTAGGGTGATGCCGACCTTCACGGTTCCAGCAGCCGAGGGACTTGCGTACAAGCCGACCCCAGAGACAAGAGTGCATGGAGCGCAACTTAGGGGCGACTGTGCAAAAGTTCAAGTCGACTCGGTGAAGCCCGAATACGAGCTGTTCCCACTGAAGTATCCACCGAACGACGAGGTCCTCTCACTAGGAAATGCATGTGGTACCTTCATCCAATGGCCCAAGGACCTCATTGAGATAAGGGTTACAGCGAGGCCAACCACTGCACCAGGCGGTCGTCCGCCAAACAGACCCGCCTCTGCTCCTTCAGCTCCTCCTGCTCAAGATCGTCATGCACAATCTTACGATGTGCAGTTGCAGTACGACATGGATTTTTAGGGAGGACCGAACGGAGGCCGACAGCAAGGCAATTCATGAACCCCCACCGATGAAGAAGAGCAGGAAGGCACACTCTTCCCCTCAAAGAATTACTCTCAATAAACCCGAAGCAAAGGGGAGAGGAAGGGGAGGAAAGGTGCAGGCTAGCTCCATGGAAGCTAGATTTGGGCAAGGGCCAGGAAGAGACTAAGGGCAAATAAGTCAAAAAGAAATGCGTCGCTCCACAAGAGTTCCAACTAGGCATGCCATTGGTTGGAGATGACATGCTTGCCGCAATGGGCACCGCTTGCAAGGACCTTCACGTATACTACATAGAGAAATCTAACGCCAGGAGGCCAAATAAAGCTACCAATATCCTTGGAGAGCACGATGGAAAGCCATTCCTTGGTCCAACAAATTATATCATGGTCGACTTCAAGGATCTATTCGACCTCTACAGGCTCCGAGCGGTGGACACAAGCCTCCTTAAGTGCTACTCCTTGTAAGTATTGTCGCCCAACTCAATCTGGTAATAACAATCGGTTTAACTCGCTTCCAAGATCGTTTACCTTGTGTGTATGTTAAGTTGGCAATGGTGTCAGAAGAATGCATCAGAAGTTGCCTTCCTTGATCCACAAGTGGTCACTGTCACAAATCTCCAGAATGACCGTCAAGGAATGGTCAACTACATCTACGACACCTTGTGGTCCTGCCGAGACAAGGAGTACATTATGTGCGCCTATAATCAATAGTAAGTGTGTTATCTAAATATACACAACAGCATGACACATTCCTTCAGTACTTAATTAACTTTCACTATATTAATGACGCAGTGCCCATTGGATCCTTCTGGTCATAACACCTAAGTGGAGTACATGTCACTACCTGAACTCCAGAATTGATAAGAAGCATATGATTGGACCCCAATTCAACTAGCGATAGATGAAGCGTGGGCACAATACGTTCAAAGAGGAGGCCTCAGGAAGACAGGACATGACACCCTCATCCACAAAAAAGACTTCCCGGTGAAGTAACAAATAGGTGACCAATGCGGATTCCATGTGTGCCACAACATGCGCCTTCTGTACAGAGAAAAGGTGAAGACTTTGGCTGAGTTTGAGGTCGGTGGTCCCAATTGTGATAGACTAACTACATTTTAGTACTTATATATGATCTATCAACTAATCTCGAATTATGACAATGTAGGACACAATTACCAAATCTCTACCTACCAGCTTTGAGGAGGTTCGCGAGGAGATAGCCAGCTTCGTCCTCCACGAAATAATTAACCCAAAAGGAATGTTTAGGCTTAAACTAAAATGATGAACAATGTTGAAGTTTTATGTTTAGGCAATGATAAACACTGATTATGTAATTGTGATGATGTAACTATGATGCTTATATTTATGTATATATTTCATATGTTTATGTTAAGACTTGCTAAATAAATATTTGATCCAATTAACTCGGTTTTGCAGGTGAAATATGATAAATATTTGAATGGATGTGAAATATGTGAATGGATATGAAATATGAGATGGCTGTGAATGTGTGATTGTGTGAAATATATTGATGTCTGTGTATGTGAATGCATATGTATGAATGGGTGATGCTGGGGAGATGGGGATATTGGATATCTGTTTGTTTTTGTCATTTTTGCAGCGGACATGGCTAGCAAAGGCCTGAGGCTAGCCAAAAAACAATTTTTTTTTGGATTATACTCATCTGTGACGGGCCATAACTAAATGCCCGATTGAGATGATGGTCATCTGTGACGGGCTCTAGTTTAGAACCGATTGAGGTCAGTAGTCATCTGTGATGGGCTCTAGTTTAGGCCCGATTGAGGTCAGTAGTCATCTGTGACGGGTTGTAGTTTAGGCCCGATTGAGATGAGTGTCATCTGTGACGTGCTCTAGTTTAGGCCCGATTGAGGTTAGTAGTCATCTATGACGGGCTCTATTTTTGGCCCGATTGAGATATGTCATCTGTGACGGGCTATAGTTTGACTGGTAGACTGGGTCAAAGCTATCGGTGACGTGCTTCAATTAGGGCCCGATTGAGATAGGTTCATCAGTGACAGCCATTTGCCCGATTGAGATTACTTTTCACATCAGTGACTTCTAACCTGTGACGGACGCCGTGTCCGATTGAGATGGGGCTTACCGCCCGATTGAGATGAGGGTATCTGTTATAGTGAAATAGTTTTCTTGTATTGGGGCAATTACATTATTGGCAATATGTAGTATATGATGTGGATCATATTAGGATGACAATCACCACTAAGAACTTGCTCTAAACCCGCATTCCCTCGATGAGCCATCGCTTGTTCTTATACTATTTAATTCGGCCTGAGCGGCACAATTAATTTGAAACAGCTAGCATAGGTCAACCAGAGGCAATACTTAACTGAACGTAAGATAAACTAATGTTTCCAATGTTTAACTCGTCTACTATATGTAGTACACGCCTACACAGAGCTACATGATTTCACCCTTAAGCAACCATAACCCCTTCTAGTATAGTTAGCTTAGTGCAGTGACTAACTTAGCTTGAGATGGGAGGGTACCAGGCAGTACTGGATCCAGACAACCAGAAGCCATCCAGCAAAAATCCAGGCTACTTCCTGTCCAAACACACCTGCGCTTGGCTCGCCAGCGGCTTCGTCTTGTTGGCTCTCCTCCACCTCCTCTGCTGCGCCCCGGCCGGCACTCGACCAGCGGCGGCCTTCTCTCCTCTGCTCCAGTACATCAACAACACTTACTCCTTCGTCTCAACAGTGTAAGTTTAAGTTCATTTACATCCAAGAAAACTCCATTTTTTTTTGACAAACAAAATATAACTTCCGCTTCTACACCAACTAAGAATGCATATATACACATTGAGAATTTGAATTCTAGTGAGCAGGGGTGGATCTAACAGGGCGGCAAGGTCTCAAGCCTCCAGTACTACTGGCGTGAGAACCATGGGAGCCACCCCTCGAAACCCCCACTAAATTTTTATTTTTGTTCTATAAGTAGATGGAAAGGGGTTGTAACTTTGTCTAGTTTCTTCACATCCTCCTGTTATATCTTTCTAGATCCGCCACTATTGGTAAGTGGAGCTAGCTCTCGGGCAGGTCAGGCTACCGCCAAACTCTGTCTTTGCCGTCTTCACTATCGATAGCTATCTAGTATATTATCGAAAAACGTTATTAGTCGTCCGAGGTCGATAAAAATTAGTCTGTTATTAGAAAACGCTATTAGTCGTTCGGGCTCGATGGTGCCACTAGCTAGATCTGCCATTGCTGATGAGTGGAGTCATGCAGTCACGAAGTTATTGGTTCTTTTGCAGGCCGGGAGTAGGGAAGAGCTGCAACTACTCGGATGGGAAATGGGTGTGGGCGCCGGGGCACGTGCTGCGGTACAACGCCACAAGGTGCAACGTGAAGGCGACCCACGACTGCATCCGCAACGGCCGCCCCGACACCGGCTACCTCGACTGGCGGTGGCAGCCGGCGGCGGCGGGCTGCACGCTTCCGGCGTTCGACGCCGGGTCGTTCCTCGCGGCGGTGCGCGGCAAGCACGTCGCCTTCATCGGCGACTCCATGGCTCGCAACCAGGCCCAGTCCCTCATCTGCCTCCTCGCCGCCGCCTTCCCCTACCGCCTCCAGTACCGCGCCACCGGCGACCCCGGCAAGTACAACCTGTGGCGCTACGCGTTCCCGTCGCACGCCGTGACGGTGTCCTACTACTGGGCGCCGTTCCTCGTCAGGGCGGAGGGCAAGTCGGTGGACGACAGCGTCCCCCACAACTACGTCCACCTCGACGAGCCCGGCGAGCGGTGGTCCGCCGACGCCGCCACCATCGACGTGGCGGTGCTCGCCGCGGGCCACTGGCTGATGAACGGCGCGATCTACTACAACGGCAGCGAGGTGTTCGGCGTGCACAACGCGCCCGAGGAGTTCGCCAACCGCACCAAGGTCGGCTACGCGTGGCCGCTCCGGCTGGCGTACCGGACGGCGATGGAGCGGCTGGTGGGCGCGTCGCGGGGGACGCCGCGCGACATGGTACTCGTCACGTTCTCGCCGTCGCACTTCGAGGGGAGGCCCGTGCAGAGCCCCACGGCGTGCACGAGGATGGAGCCGTACAGGGAGGGGGAGAAGGAGCTGGAGTGGGTGTTCAGGGAGATCAGGGACGTCGTCTACGACGTGGCGGCAGAGGCGAGGCGCGGCGGTGGTGGCGGCGAAACGACGGTGAGGATCGAGGTGCTGGACGTGACGAAGCTAGCGTCGATGAGGCCGGACGGGCACCCCGGCGTGTACATGAACCGTGACCCGTTCGCGAACGGCGTGGATGAGAACATGTTCTCCGATTGCCTCCATTTTTGCCTGCCTGGCCCGGTAGATACCTTCAACGAGATACTCGTGCAACTCCTCAAGAAACGGCGGTGAGAACATGTGGCAGCTCGATCGATCTCACCATGTTAGATCGTGTTTTTGTTTGTGGAAAATTAATTACCGTAGGAAAGGCTTCCTACAAATGTTAGGTCCTGTGTGTATGGTGCAACGCCATCAGCCCGTTATAGCATGATGTGTGGCGGTGTATAGCATGATGTAGTAGTTGAGACCAAAGTAGAACATTTTTTGAAAAAAAAACATATATTTTAATAAACTGGTGAATAGTTAATATTTAAAAGAATAGGGTCCAGAAGTGTTTTTAGTTAGTGTGGTTTTTTTAGAAGGGTACAATTAGGACACACATTCATGCAAACCACACTCACACCACAACAACACACGTACACACATGCGCGTCTCTAACACACTTGTGTGTGCGCGTCCTACGACACGCTAAGATTAAGATTTGAGGCATTAGGTCTCAGTGAAAAAAACGTACGCCCACGTGTGTACCCTATTTCTAGTCGAGACTGTCCCGAAGGATAGTCCTGAAAAAAGATGAGAAAAACCCGTCGATGTGAGGTCCCGCGAGTCGAATTCGTGACCGGCCGTTCGCACCACAGCTAACGAGCCAACCGAGCTAAGCTCAGTCCTCAGCTAGTGTGGTTTATAGTACCTGCCATGTTGAAAGTTTCGCTATATGTACGCATCAGAAGCCTTAACATTTTGACTATGATACGCTGAGACGTGAGCTATTTTACATAAAGTCGATTGCTGTAGTCTGAAGTACAATGGTGTGGCACAGTTTTAGGCTAGTGGAGTGGTACCGTTATAGTGTTGTGGCTTGTGTGGCTGCAAGTTGTTACTTATTACCACTACTACGAAATACTCCCATATTTATCTTATATAAGTTCTTTTTGTTAGATCAAAGAGAAGAGTTAACTTACCTATTTTTTATTTTGTGTCCGTGTAGGTTGGGAAAAATCAAGATAAGTCTTCCGCATACGTAACAAACGAGCGCTTTACTACACAAATTTTGACAATTTAACCCTTTGTAAAAACTAATTATACAAATAAACCGCGGCTAAAACTTATTTTAAAAATGACCCTTTTGTTCAGTGCAAAATCCCATGGCGCTGAACTTAGACACCTCAGCACCAAATAGCACGGCGCTGAATGCACGTTGGCATACCGACTCAGACTCCCATCTACGGTGGCATGACATTCAGCGCCAGTTGACGTGGCGTTGAGGTGTCTAAGTTCAGCGCCATGGGTTTTGGAGCTGAACAAAATGGTCATTTTTTAAATAAGTTTTAACCACGGTTCATTTGTATAATTAGTTTTTGTAAAGAGTCAAATTGTCAAAAATTTGTGGCTTTACCACCCATTGTCTACATACATGCATATATGTAATTGCGTTGTAGCTGGGTAGTAGGGTTATATGATGATTAATTTGGATTTTTATTTTTTTTATGTGATAATCACTATAAAACGGAGGAAGTATAGTAACTGTTAATATGCATTTGACTTGGATCTTTTTGACAAGGGAAAAAGTTCGTATAAACCAATCAAAGCTACAATTTGCCATTACGAGATGATTTTATGACACAATCTTCTATGCGCACATTATTAGTATATATCACAGTAACTGGATCGAGATTCCGAATTATCACAAGGGTCGATTGTTAACTGGAGGTCGACTTCCAAGAGTTGAGATTCTTGGAGTCTTAATTAGCTGCACGGGCCGTTCGATGAAACATTGACCTCAGTTCTGTTTTCTGAGTAGTAGTGGAGTACTATTCTTTTCTCGCGCAGATCTCCATGCATCAAATTAATCGTTCAACTCGCATTTAATCTGCTCTTAGATTTGAGTGAAATAAGGACGTTCGAGATTGATCATGCGTTAAGGTGGACCATTTTGACCAGGGAGTACCGGAGTAGGGCCTTATTTGGAAGATTAGCCCATGGCTAATTTTAAGAGCTAATGTTTAGTCATGAATTGGTAGACTAAACATTACTCTAGGGTGGTATGTTTGAATCTATGGGCTAATTTAAGGCTAAAAGGTGAAGAGAGAGTAGAAAGAGAGGAGAGAGAAGGAGAGAGAGAGCTGCTTTTTGATGGTCTCCACACAAAATTAGCCCCATTAACACCCCTTAGAGGGGCTAATGTTTTGAGGGGGGCTAATTCACATTAATTCACATTAGCTCAAAATTAGCCTACTTGTTTGAATCCTTGAGAGCTAATTTGAGACTAAAAGGTGAGGGCTAAACATTAGCCCATAGAATTAAACAGGGCCTAGTACTTCAATTGGATCTGAAACTGACCATGACTTTTTAAGCCACAATTTTAACGAACCCACAGTTAGGACTGGCTCAATTTATGGCTGGCTCGGCTCGATTGAATTTATTAATGTTCTGAGTTAAGGTTTTAATAACTCGCTAAGTTCAACTTGAATTTATCTAGCTGGCTAGCGAGACGCTCATGAGCCAACAAACCAAATGCAGGCAGCGGGCCAAGTGCATCAAGCAGGTAGCAGCAGCATCATCCCCACGGATTAAGATCCTCAAACTTAAGTCAAATAATTTTGAATCACAGATATGTTGGTTTTTTCTAATGGATTCACATGACAATGACTCTAAAGTCATCTGAGCTAAGATAGAGGATATCAGTCTCATTCCCACACGTAGCAACGTGCCTTCACCTCCGTAGGAATGATTTCACCTCCTGCAGCCTTGCTGTGTGGTCCTTGGAGCCACAACCAAGGTTTTCACTTTAGATTTCGCAAAATTTTGGCCATTTCGGTAGCACCACAATTACTGAAATTTTGGGATTTTCGTCACATTTTTGACCAGTATTATTTAAATTTTAACCCAACTTAACTTATTCTGAATAAATTTTGACCAACTTCACAAAAAATAGAGAAAAACCGAAAATTTCAACCGAGATAATGCCTTACTGGGGGTCCAAAATTTTGAACCAAATTAAAATTGCATTCACGGGCCACCCCGCCGCCACCACCATTGACCACTCCTCCTCTGGTGCTGCCGGCTGCGCATCAATGTAGTCGGGCTGCCCCGACCAACCGAACACAACGGTGACCACTGACCACAACTTCCCCGCTCCGCCGCTCTCGTCGGCATGCAACGTCGCCCCACCAACAGCCAAAGCGAAGAGGATCCACAGGCTCGCCGTCAGCACTAGCCTCACATAGAAAGCCATCCCCAATGCAACTGTGTAAATGGTATTGGATTCCACTACACAAAATAAACAATATTCCGCATGCTTTCGGTTCCATTTAGATTCTTTTCTTTGAAAAAGGAATTTTACAGTCATTGAGAAATTACCTTGAGGTACCTAAATTTTACACTTTTTTTTTTGTCGAGAGGGGCTCGACGAGATCTATCAGCGAGCATGCTTCAAGTCCACCAGGTTGATTCTGTGGTGGTGGGTGTCTTGCACTAAGATTCGATGCTTTGTACCTCCCCGGGGATATGTATTTATATCGCAGATCAGCTTGGTCTCCAAGTAGAACTCGGAGACAACAGACCCCGTACGATATATATGACACATTCCTTATCCCCTCCGAGTACTACTTCTGATATTTCCCACGCTTAAAGAATATTTCCATAAGAACTCATCGATTTCCTTAACTTAAACAACTCATTTCCACATAATTGAGGATATATCGTATTCGTATATCTCATAATTCCTAGGGAAGAGAGTATGCCTTATTCTTAACCCTGACATAGGCCAAGCCCCATTTGCCCATGACGAGTTGGTTTCATGAGATACGGGGCTGAGTTGTCAGACTCCGATCTAGAAATTGCTGTGGGTCTTCAATACTTTTTACTTATGAAAAAAAAACTTTCATCTCAAAATCACAAACTTTCAATTTAAGCTAAAAGTTTCATCTCAAATCAAAAACTATTGGCTAAGAGATTTATAACTTTCACTCAAAATAAAAACTTTTTGGTTCAAATCCAAAACTTTTAACTCAAAATGACAAACTTAGCTGTGCCCTAGGAGTCGCGCGCCAGACCCGTACGTCACTCGGTCAGACGCCATCGCCGTCGTCGCACCATCCTCCCAGTGCCGCTCGTCGCCATCACCTCCTCGCCCCACCTTGGCCGCCACCGCGCACAGCCAGACCGGCCTCGCAGGAGCGCCGCTACCACGCTCGGCCAACCCAACTCGGCGCGAGCGCCGCCCCGCGGAGCTCCCCTGCCGCCTCCATCTCCACCTGGCCAGACGCCCACCGAAATGGCCATTGCCGCCTTTGGGCCTGTTTGGGGGAGCTTCTAGCTGCTGCAGCTTCTCCCAGAATCTCTAGCTCCCCCAAACAGTCCAGATTGTCACCTAGATTCTGAGAATCTGTAGTTGTAGAATCCAGAAAATGAATTAGAACCCAGAAGCTGGAAATCCTAGCTTCTCCAGATTCTTAGAAGCTGGATACCAACCAACAGATTCTCAGAATCTTAAGCTCCCCCAAACAAGGCCTTTGTCTCCCTCCGGGGCGCCGCTTCCTCTGCCCCGCTGCTCTTCTCCGTCGCCACGCCGACCGCCGATTTGGCCTCGACTCCTCCCCACACCTCCTCTGCCCCGCCACCTTCCTCCATCGCCGCACCAGCCGCCGTCGTTGCGCCGACCGCCGTCCCGCGCCCCTCGCCGCGCCTCGCTATACTCCGCCCAGGCACGCGCATGAGAAAGAGAAGGGGATCGGGGAAACAGAGAAGAGAGAAGAGAAGGAAGATGATAAGGGACAGAAAAGAAAAGAAAGAGATTGTGGGGCCCGCCAGTGGGGTCCATCCCCTTCACTCCTCTCCGTGGACCCCATTGACCTGAAAACTTTCTATAGAAGTCTATTTAAGGTCCTTATAACCTTCGGGATGAAGCCCACCAGCAGCCTCCTTATCCCCTAAAGTCCACATTACGTCCCTCTACATCCCAAGCAGCCAAGCTTCTCTCGAGAAGTATAAAACATCTCCCTACACGGCCTCCTTCAACTCTGGGCTAAAGCCCAAATCCTCCACCAAACAAAGTCCATCATGCCTCCCTCTTAGCCTCTTGGTCCAAGGAATATTCTTGGGAACATTCCTTTCCAATTTAATAAATCATTTTTCACATATCAGGAAAGCCAATTAATCTCCCAAAATTCATGTCTTACAAACCGTAACCATGACTCCGTTCAACTTTCACAATTTTTCTAAAATTGAGATCTATACAATGGCACTTTTAGTTTTAATAGTTATTATCTACTTTATACGGTTTCGGATGGTTTTCTCTTTCCGAACGTGTAGCGG